ACACAAAAGTATTAGAAACTCTGTGTGTGTGTCCACCCATGTCTGCCTCCCCAGCACTGGGGTTATAAACACACAACACCATGACTGGGGTCGTTTTCACTGCTGCTCGGAATTCGAGCTAATGCCTGCACAGCAAGCACTTTACCCACTGAGCCGTTCCCCAGCCACTGGCATTGCCTCTTAAACTGCCCAGTTTCCCTGAGGGAGAAAACAGAGTGTGGCTCAAAGGCAGATGCAGATCGCTTGCCTCTAGGTCACAGGACTCTGGGCTACATCTGAAACACTGAAAAGAACAAAGCAAAAGCGAAACAACAAGAAGAAAAAACGGACATCTCTTTCTCGGGCTGAGCCTCCCTGAAGGCTAGTGATCTCAAAGTGCCCCACCCCCACCCATCCTTATACTTATACTCCCACCATCTCAAAGCCTTTAATCCCATGATTCTTCTGTTAGGAATTTAGCCCAAGAAGATGGTGACAGACACCTAAAAAGATGTAGTTACAGATGTTTCTCACTCCGTGTAGATTATGGCTAGAGATTGGAAACAACCTTAGAACCCAATCAAGCTGATAAGCGACCTGCCCTCGCCTTGAAAGCCCTGCTCACAGCCAGGAAGAAACAAGAGTGGATAACCTTAGACAGACACTGAGTTTCTCTGGGTGGGGAGGGGAACGAGTGAAGGGTAAGGATTTGAGTTAGGATGGTCTATTCAAAACCCACTTAAACTAGAAACATTGTATCACTAAGATCTGGAAGTGATCAATGAAACCGGAAGCGGCATTCTGGGAGAGCTGCTGCCTTGGAAGGGCCAGCTCCGCTCCACGGTGCTGGGAGATAAGTGGAGTTTTGTATTAAAATGCACGGTAGGCTGGAAGGAATGGGCCCTTGGGGACAGGGTGGACTCTTGTTTGTTTGAGACAGGGCCTCTGGTAGCCCAGGCTGTCCTCAAACTCACCATGTAGTCAAGGATGACCTTGAACTCCTAATCCTAAGTGCTGGAATTGGCATGTACAACTATACCCAGTTTTATATAGTGCTGATGATGGAACCCAGGGCTTCTGCAATACTAGGCAAACATCCTACCAACTCAGCCACTTATGCCCTCAGCCCTACTGTATGCTTTTGAATAAGAAAAACAAACAAACAAACAAAAAAAAAATAGCCATTTCCCAGTCATAAGAAGGGCCAGTCCACAGTGCCTGCATGAGTCTGTGGTCCAGGGCTTTTGGTTTTTTTGGGGGGGTCTGATTCTGTGGAATTAGAGGAAAACCCAGAGATTGTTGAGGATTAGAGAACCCAAGTTTTCGAGAAGCCTCGGGCTTGCTCTCAGTGCTCTGTTAGAAAAAGTACAGTGAGGATTCTACCTGCTTGGCTGAGGTGGCAGTTGTCTCTCCTTGGGTCCTAATCCCTCCCCTCAGGTCCTGCTTGGCATCTCTATTCTAAAATTTTAACCACACTGACAGTCTTCTAGGAGAACCCAGGACCCCAGCCCACTTCTGAAAGTCACACCTAAATCTCATTCATTCATTCATTCACCTAATACTGGTAGAGACTATATTATGTGTTTGGGTGCAAATGAACAGGATGCCAATACACAGTTGGTACTTAATAGCTATCCATGGGCCAAGTGTGGTGGCACACATCTTTAGTTCCAGAATGTGGGAGGAAGATCTCTGTGAGTTAGAAGCCAGACTGGTCTACATACTGAGTTCTGGGCCAGCCAGGTCTACATAGTAAAACCCTGCCTCATAGACAGACAGACAGACAGACAGACAGACAGACGAGAGAATCTAAGGGAAGGGAAGGAGGGGGAAAGAGAGGGAAAGAATATAGCCTCGAGTGACCCAAGATCAAGTGTGAAACACAACCACAGCCTTTGTTTTCTGGGGCTCGGAAAGCCTTGTTTTGCAGGCCCAGGCAAGACTTTCAACAGAGCCACATGGAGAAAGCTTCTGGGAGTCCTAGCTTCTCTCATAGAGAGTGTTCCATCCTCCTGGACTGGAAAACCCAGGATGGAAAACCCTGATATAACCAGGAGACCCTTTGGAAGAAGGAAAAGGGGCCACAGGCAAGTGCCTGAGAGGCTGCCTGACCCTTTGTAACCAGGCTGGTCTGGGAGGGAGGGCAGGCATGAGCTAGGGAACCAAAGGCCAGTCAGCCCTGGCCTCTCTGTTTCCCTTTTGGGGCTACTCTGCCATTTCCAATGGTTGCTGCCAGATGACCTTAAATCCAAGGGCCATTTGTCAGTTAAGGAACTTGGCACTAGTAGGAGGGAGGTGCATGGGGAAGAAGGGGGTAAGGAAGAGATTGAGGCACTGTGTCCTTTTAATCACAGGGTGGAAGAGAGGGAAAGTTCAGACAGAGCCCTGCAAGACGGGCGGGCGGGCGGCGCCTCTTTGCAAGGGACCAGGCACTCTTGGCTTTCCTCAAGTTTCTCTTGGCCCAGACCTGCTTCGAGAAACCCAGGACAGCTCACTTGCTCAACAATTCACTTGGCAACTTGGCTTCAGCTGAGGATTTTTAAAAAGAGAGATGGGGGAGGAAGGAAGGGAGGCTAAGGCAGCTCAGTTGATATGAGTGTTTGCCTAGCAAATTCAAAGCCCTGGGTTCGGGGCCCTGGCCCGGCCTGGGAGATGGCAGCAAGAGAACCAGAAGTTTAAGGTCATCCTTGGTTACATAGATCTACTTCGAGACCATGAGATCTTATCTTGAGAGGGCGGGAGGAGGGGGGGAGAGGGAGAGAGAGGGAGAGGAAGAGAGAGAGAGAGGGAGAGAGAGAAGGAGAGGAAGAGAGAGAGAGGGGGGAGAGAGAGAGAGAGAGAGAGGGAGAGAGAGAAGGAGAGGAAGAGAGAGGGGGGAGAGAGAGAGAGAGAGAAAGAGAGAGAGAGAGAGAGAGAGAGAGAGAGAGAGAGAGAGAGAGAGAGAGAGAGAGAGAGAGAGAGAGAGAGAGAGAGAGAGAGAGAGAGAGAGAGAGAGAGAGAGAGAACTTAACCTCTCTGTGGAGCAGATGGGATGAGGAGAGTGGAAGGAGAGGAAGGAGAGGAGGGAAAGGAAACTGGGATTGTAATGTAAAAGTTAAATTAATTGAAAAAAAGAAGAGAAAACAGAAAGACCCCAAGGTCCCAAAGTGACTGTCCCAGGGAGTGAGAGTGGAGGAATAAGGGAGGCACTTATAAAGCTCTCATAGAGAGACTCTGCCGGCTGTGACCAGCCACTGCCTAGGCAGGTCTAATTGAGTCACTGAAAGAGCATCAAGATAGTCACCAACCAGAGAGCTGGGATCCTACGCGGCTTTACACCTTTACCCGGAAGCATGGCTTTTACACTCAGGCATGTTTTAGTCTCGCTGCCATACATTCCATCGCCTCCTAATCTCGCTCCCAGCCAACTCCCAGCAGCAGCGATCTCGGCCGAGTACACAGGCTGCAGAGGTCAGCCTCTACCTGTAACTGGACACCCAAGCCCACACAGTTCAGCCATACCATCAGAGGTGAATGGATGTCGCCTGTGGCTCTGGGACTTCTCTCAGCAACTCTGTCCCCTGGCCTTTGCTGGTTTGTTTCTCTGAATTACCTACAGGAACCTGACCTGCACTGCTCTCTAGCCACAGACAGGAACATACTGAGGCAGCCCGTCCAGTCAGCTAACTCCGGGAAGCTTGCTGTTGAGCTTAACTCTGCAGTTCTGGGAACACAGGTCAGAGCACACAGACGGCAAATACAACTTGATTAAGATCACCCAGGGCTTCTTGAGTGTGCCCAGGGAGAATTCAGGGGCACCTGTCTTAGCTTGGGGAAACGCCCTTTGCTATCTTCATTTTCTTCTGCTGGGAACATAGGTGACAAACTGCTGTGGTATGTCCCTGTGACTTGGGCTCCCATGTCAATCACAAAAGCTTTCCTATCCTGAATTGTGTTTGCAGATAGAATAGAATGCAATGTTTATTGGGGCCCTCATGGCCCTGGGATCAAGGGGTGGGGGTGGGATACACCAGGAGGCAGCCAGATCTGCAGGTTCCTGTTTCACAGAACAGGTTAATTAATTAACTGATTCTGAGGAAGGGTTTCTTCTCGTAGTCCTGACTGTCCTGGAACTCACTATGTAGACCAGGCTGGCTACAAACTCACAAAGATCCACTTGCCTCTGCCTCCCAAGTTCTGGGATTAAAGATGTATGTCACCACCACCCAGCTAGAACTGGTTAATATTTTAACATCTGCCTTACAGTATTGCCTCCTAAGTTTATGAATGGAGGAGCCATATTCTATATGGAGTTCCAGAAGGCCCCAACAAGCTGCTCAAGGTGCTCATGTTCCATGTTTGGGAATCTGAGGCAGGGTGAAAGGTGGATCTTACAAATTATTTCTTTAGTGTGTGCTTGTGTGTGTGTGCTTGTGTGTGTGTGTGTGTGTGTGTGTGTGTGTGTGTGTGATGGGGGCGGGTACATGCACCATGGTACACTTGTAGAGGTCAAAGAACAACTTTCTGAAGTTGCTTCTCCCCTCCCACCTTGCTTGGGTTGGGTGGCTCTGATCATCTCTGCCGGGCTTCGTAATCGAGGCTAGCTGGCATGAGAGCTTCAGGGTGACCCCTCCTGGCTCTGGCTCTCATTTCACCATAGGAGTGTGACACTAGCAAAGTGTGCCACTGAATCCAGCTATTTTACATGAACTCAGGCAGCCAGGCTTGCACTGCACACACTTTTACACACTGAACTATCTCCCATATCCCCTTTTAGTAATGGCCTCTCATCATGTGGTCCAGGTTGGCTCAGAACTCACTATGGAGCCCAGTCGCGCTTTAAACCAATCTTCCTGCCTCAGCCTCTTAAGTATTGGGATTGCCCTTCAAGAGCAAATCTACAAAGTATAAGAAAGTGGATGGGGATGGGGATGGCACACCTAGCTCCTGATGGGTAGAGAGGCAGGAGGATCAGACATTCAAGGTCATCCTTGGTCACGTAGTGAGTTTGAGACCAGACTGAAAGATTACAAGAGACACTGTCCAGAAATAAGTAATACATTCATACATACATATAGTAAGGCGGACAGAAAGACCTCTGAGGGCAAAGGGCTATGCTTCACCCAGAACAGTGACAATACTCAATAATACAGGTCCCCAAAGAGTATCTGATTCATGCAACCATCTATACTCTGGCTGCTTTCAAACAGTGTGATCTTGGGTGAGAGAGGTTACTGTCCCATGCCTCTGCTTCCTCAGGGGCAGCTGGGCTCCACAGGACCTTCCCATTGGCCCGGGACACCCAGAGGTTGGAAGGTCCCTTGGTCTCCTGCTGTGCATGCCCGGGTGGGCTGATGGTGAGTGGAGGATGCCTTGGTGCCATAGCTTGCCAGGGGTACCACATGGCTTGCTCTCTCTCACACGTTTACTGGAAAGATGCCTGAGTCTATGAGGCTGGCAAGACCCAGAGCAGCCTTTGACAGTATCCAGCCAACTGAATGTAATTAAACTGCACTCCCAGAAGCCAGCCCCATCTTCCTAAGACAGAAACACAAGCTTGAAAAGTCCCCTGGCACCCTGGAGCAGCCTGGAATCTCTGCTTCATGCCACAGTCTTGAACTGCTCACAGGGTGGGTCCTTAAACCAGAAGCACCCTGGCCCTTCTCTGACACCTCACCTGGTCTTTCTCCCTAAAGATAAAGTTATGGGACTGTTATTTTTCTGCAGTGATATGAATGAAATGGCCCGCTAGGCTCCTGCCCATCCAGATGGAGAACCCTGGACTCCTTCTCCAGCAGCATGTTTGCCCACATGCCGCCATGCCTCCCGCCATGACAAGGATACACTCAGCCTCTGAACCTGTAAGCCAGCCTCAGTAAGAGTTACCATGGTCAAGGTGTCTCTTCAAAGCAATAGAAACCCTAACTAAGATACTTTCCAGCTTGGTTTCTTGGAAGGACCCAGAGATGACATCTTGGATAGCCATGGGGTGGATCCACAGGGTGGAACCAGGCACCGATTGTCCAACATTCAGCACAGAGGGCCACCTCTACATCCATATTTACTTTTAGGCATTCCTTTTGCAGCATTGAGTTCAGATGGGGCTTAGAATGGTGACCCAAACTGTCCTTAGTCCAGCCATGTGAATAGAGACACAAGACAGCTCTGGACTGTAGTGTTGGGAAGGAACAGTGGAGAAATAATAGACATCCTGAGAATGTGACATTCGAGCTGACAGTTGAAGGATGTGGCAATCCTACCTAGAATATTCCCCGGGCAGCAGGGGCAGTGTGGGACGGGGAAAGTTTGGCAGGAGCTGGGACTGACAGGAGGTCAGGGTTGCTGGAGTAATGAACAAGAAAGATGGTGGCAAGAGGTAGGCAGAGGTGCTTTCTGGGTCACGGAGGCCCTTGTAACAGGCTCAGCTGTTACTCAAGGCAGCTGGAGAGAGCGCTGAAAGTGATGAGATGTGTCCTCCAAAAGATGACTTGTTGAGTGCAGAATGAGGGAATTAGGAACATTCATCCTTTGGAAACTTCGGCATCCAAATCTCTGCCATCTCTGGATTCAGCTGGATTTCCCAGAATTCCACAGATCTGTCCCTCCACTGGCCCTTTAGCAATGACGTTGGCAAAGAAATTCAAAGAAATGATTAGTAAAGTAACATGACTGATGGTAGAAAATCTGTATAACATTCCTGAAGCCCTGGGTTCAAACACACACACACACACACACACACACACACACACACACACACACACACACACACGCCGGGTGGTGATGGCACACACCATTAATCCCAGCACTCAGGAGACACAGTCAGGTAGAGCTCTGTGAGTCTGAGGCTAGTGTGATCTACAGAGTGAGTTCCAGGACAGCCAAGGCTACACAGAGAAACCCTGTCTCAGAGGAGAAAGAAAGAAAGAAAGAAAGAAAGAAAGAAAGAAAGAAAGAAAGAAGGCAGGGAGGAAGGGAGGAAGGAAAGAGAGGAGGGAAGGAAGGAAAGGGAAGCAGAGGGAGGGAGGAAAGAAGGAAAAGAAATAAAGGAAGAAAGAAAAAAAGAAACAAGAGAGAGGGAGAAAGAGAGAAAGAGAGAGGAGAGAGAGAGAGAGAGAGAGAGAGAGAGAGAGAGAGAGAGAGAGAGAGAGAGAGAGAGAGAGAGAGAGAGAGAGAGAGAGAACTGTCATGGCTTCCAAGAGCATGGCAATATTGTGTAATTTGATCTCCTATCACTAGCACAGCACAGCACCAGATGTTTGAAACGGAGCATTCCCTAGTATTGTACGGTAGGAGGCCCTGGTCAGACCTGACCCTCACCCACTGTGTGCTTGGGACAAGCTGAGTCCCCTCTGGGTCGACACCTTTTTCAGTGAGTGAATGAAGACAATGCTACACCTGTCTCCAAGGGGCTGAGGACTCCTGAAAAAAAAAAGGGCTTTGGGAGTCAGCCGCACCCTGGACTTGTTTGAAAAGTATGCATGCTGTGTTTGCCTATATGAGTGAACATGCATTTTCAAAGGACTAGATCTCCTTGGTTTCCCCAAGCTATTCACAATCTGCCAAAGTTTAAAGGGCAGGGGAAGCTTAGCAGTTGGATCTGTGCTTGGTCTCCAAACTGCTCTCTTGCTCCGGAGACTTAACTCAATGTTTTCTTGTTGACCCCTGGTCACCTCCTCCAAACCTGTAACCTGCATGGCAGGAGGGGAGGCTGTCTGCATTAGTATCTTCTCTTACCTTCAAACCTCTACCAGGCTGCCACCAGGACCTGAGGCCTGGCCCAGCAGTGGTCCATGGACCCAGAGCCGCATCCTCCCCAAGATGTGCTCACAGCTACCAATGGCTGAGCAGGAGTGAGAGGCGCTGACTTGGTGTGTGCTTCCTGTGAGCCAGGCAAGACCTTACACCTGCCTGATAATAAGATGCCTTGACCAGGTTCCCCAGCAACTGGAGGTCATCCCAAAGATGTGAGAGCTACTGCTGGGGATTGCTGGCACCATGTTCTGCCCGTGAAGTTTTGATTTGCAGGGAGGGAAAGAGATATAAGAGCTTCTGCCAGCCCCCAGGCATCCACTGAAGGATGACCCTGGGGGATTTATGTCTGCCCTCTTCTTGCACCAGCACAGACCCAGCATAGCTCAGGCACTTAACAAAAGCAGTAAATAAACACTGGCCATTCCCAGCACCTTGGCCTGACACACCCTGCAGGGATCCTAACAGGACACACTTGCCTCTTGCCCAGCTTGTTCCCCCACCTCTTCTGGGTAAGTCGTAAAGTTAATGATAGCTTAGGTAAAGGGAGCATCTTCTCTAGGAATAGAAACAGCCATTATCATTTCTTCATCTTCATCTCGGAGATTCAAAGGGGACAGGGGAGAAGAAAAGGGACTCCAGCGGTCCCCGCCCCCTCCTGCCACCTTGATGTGTCACGTCCTGGAATCTGAAACCTAGAACAGGAAGTGTTTCTGGAGTGCAAGACACAGGCCAGTGGAGTTGGGCAGCACGGGGGGGGGGGACGACGTCCTCTATAGACAACTGCATTTGAATTTGATCTGTCTTGAGCCTCCTGAATCACCTTTTTCTGTTTGTTTATTTTCACCTGGAGGCAGAGCAGATTCCTCTAATCGAGCTGCAAATGTCGCAACAGTCCCTCTGTTCTTGAGGTTTGAGAAAAACCCCCCTCCCTCCTGCAGACCACCTGGGAACGGGGCAGTTCCGGTGATGTTTCCACAATGCTCCCCCAAGGGGGTGTGAGTCAGGGAACCTGGTGGGCTCAGAGCTGCATGGTCTGACAGGCTTTGACTCGCTCACCTATCTGGGCTTCTACAACAAAGCCCATCTGGGTGAGAAGTTATGCAATGGGAGGAAGCCTGCAGGTGCGGTCACGTGACCCGCCCTGGTTCCTTGGCACTGACTAGCCTGAAAGACTGTGAGGCAGGAGTTGCCAGCTCAGGTGCCTCATCCACGGAATTAATGGCCTTAGTAATTAACCACCTTTAGGAACAAAATGGCAACAGGTATGTAGGGTGGGGGAAAAAAGACCAACCAATACAAAATGTACAAAACCAAACCAAAAGCATAGACGTTCTGCTAAATTAAAGCAACTCTGAACTTGGCAGTGAGGCCAAGTACCCTCTCTGGAGATGGATGGCAGAGTTTCAGAGTTTGAGAAAACAGGGACATGACAACTTGGGGCTTCTGGGGTTTGCTATATTCTAGAAGTTAGTATAGAAATCTGGATGTGAGAGGGGTATGTGAAAAAGAATCCCATCTCTGATAGCTCTCCCAGGCAATCCTGGAACCATGGACAGCATTTCACTTAGAGTAAGGGCTTTGTGGGTGAATTAAATTGAAAGAACTTGAAAGTCAGCATGGAAGTGCTGTAATCCCAGTATTTGGCGAGACTGAGGCAGGAGGGTCCCCGTTCAAAACCATTCTGGGCTATATATGGAGACTCTGTCTCAAAAAGAAAGGGAGGGAGGGGGAGGAAAGAAGAAAGGAAGGAAGGAGGCAGAGGAGAGGAAAATTTTTCAATCCTTTTGGCAACCAAAAGTGGAATGGCCCACCTCGAAAATTTTTATTCCAAATATTTTTTTGTTTTTTGTTTTTTGAGACAGGGTTTCTCTGTGGCTTTGGAGGCTGTCCTGGAACTCGCTCTGTAGACCAGGCTGGCCTCGAACTCACAGAGATCCGCCTGCCTCTGCCTCCCGAGTGCTGGGATTAAAGGCATGCGCCACCAACGCCAGGCTTTATTCCAAATATTTTTGCAAACATATTTTCATACGTGTGGAATGGAGCGTTAGAGTAGGCAGCAAGTTCGAGGACTTTCTACCTTCTGAGCAAGTGAGCCCCACTAGCTGCTAGCTCCTTATTTCAACGCCAGCATATAATTTACTACCCCTTCCTGTTGCTGGTCCTTGCCTTGCCAAGGACAGTCAAGGTCAAATCTACTCCTTCAGATCATAACAATGGCAACAAGAACCAACTTCTAGCCATGTGACTAACAAGTACCGGCCACTCTACTGGCTAAGTCCTCTGCTTGTCAGGGTCCTTGAGCCTCCATGAGCTCTGCCAGAGTCTGAAACAACTGCTGTCAATCACATTGCCTGCCTGGTGAGTGTCAGATCATCTCTGCAAAGTCTTTCTTAGCCTCATTTTGTGAATAAGGAACTGAGGATGGGGACTGGAGAGATGGCTCGGTGGTTAAGAGCCCTGGCTGCTCTTCTACCGGACCCAGGTTTAATTCCCAGCAGCCACATGTCTGCTCATAGCTAGCTGTGACTCCAGTTCCAGGGAACCTGACATACTCTTCTGGCCTCTGTGGGCACCAGGCACATAACTGTGCACAGACACACATGCAAACCAAACACCCTGTCCTGGGTTAGTGTTACTATCGCAGCGATGAAACACCATGACCAAAGATACTTGGGGAGGAAAGGGGTTATTCAGCTTATGGTTCCACATCACAGTTCATCATCAGTGGAAGTCAGGGCAGGAATTCAAACAGGGCAAAACCCAGAGGCAGGAGCTCATGCAGAGGCACTGGAGGAGAGCTGCTTACTGGCTTGTTCCTTGTGGTTTGCTCAGTCTGTTTTCTTTTAGAACCTGGAACCACCATCCCAGGGATGGCTCCACCCATGATGGGCAGGGCTCTCCACGTTGATCACTGATTAAGAAGATGCCCTACAGGCTTGTGTACAGTCTCATGGAGGCTTCTTCTTAATAGAGACTCCTCCTCTCAGAGAACTCTAGGTTGTGTCAAGTTGACAAAACTCTCTAGCACACAGCCAAACACATAAAATTAAAAATAAATGTAAAGACGAGGAAGAGGAAAGAGAAGAAGAGGGAGGAGGAGGAGGAGGAGGAAGAGGAGGAGGAGGAGGAGGAGGAGGAGAAGAAGAAGAAGAAGAAGAAGAAGAAGAAGAAGAAGAAGAAGAAGAAGAAGAAGAAGAAGAAGAAGCTAAAAACGGGGTGGGTGGGCAGTGAGGTGTCTCGTCTCAGTGGCTAAGGCCCTGGCCATCAAACCTGGGTGTCCCCCCTCCAACCTGCATGGCAGGAGAGAACCCATTCCTGCAAGTTTTCCTCTGACCTCCATAGCTTGCAGTAGCACACGCTCACCCAGGGGAGAGAGAGAGAAAGAGAGCACTTTAAAGTTGAAGCCACACAAACTGTCCCAGACAGGCTGGAAGGGCCACTTATTATAAAGGGGTATGGGGGCTAAGCAGGCTTTTCTTGTGCCTTCTATTCAGGGCTGTGACTAAAGTAAAGTTCACATTTGCTAGAGAAGTCAAAGGGCCCCCCAAAACTGAGGGACCAAGAGACATTATTTAGTACAGCATTCTGGCGATGGGCTTTGAACCCAGGGCCTCATATGTGCTAAGCAAGCAACTAACTTGATGGGTGGTTTATTTGGAGACACAGTCTCACTATGTATCCCTGGCTGGCCTGGAACTCACTATGTAGACCAGGCTGGCTTCAAACTCATGGAGATCTGCCTGCCTCTGCCTCCTGAGTGCTGGGATTAAAGTGGGACTAATAGAATGTTTTTTTAAAAGCTTGAAACACACACATGAAACCATGGAAAGTGTGAAGGGCCGCTGGAAATACTGCTCTGGTATAAAACACTAACCCTGTGTCCCATCCCTAGGGCAAGCCTGGAGCCTGTAATCTCAGAGTATGGCCACCAGTAGGCGGAGCCAGGAGAATCAGGAGTTCATGGCTAGTCTCACTTTGCACGTGACTTAACTCAAGTCCTGTCTCCATTTTTGTTTTCATTATTGGATTTTTGCTTTAAATTCTTGAAAATAGTGTGGAGATTGGCTGGACTTCATTACTGTTATCATCATCATCATCATCATCATCATCATCATTATTAATTTTGTAGTTCTGGATGGGGCGAAGCCCTGGCCTCCCTCAAGCTATGCTAGCACTCACCCCTGAGACACATCCCCAGCTGGTAAAATGTGGCTTATCTTGTCACAGAGATTTTGGGTTTGTCCTTAATTTTCCACTTTGGATTTCGCAGTCCCTGCCCTTTGAACTGCCTGTCCTGGCGCAACCCTCAGCAAGACTTTGAGGGTGACTCGGATTTCAGGCTCACATGTTTGGGAGGTACAGTCCTACCGACCGCACACAGCGGCTCAGAGAGGTTGCGGGCATCCCTGAAGATCACACAGCCCAGGGGACGGGAACTGGCACCTGGGCAGGAAGTACAGAGGAACACGGAGATCCCCAAGCCGGGAACCACCCAAGCTTCGGCAGGGACTGACCAGTGAGGGGCATCCAAGGAATTCCTGGAAGGCGTAGTTCCCAGTCTAGTTTCCTAAGAAACGTCGAGGTGACTCGGGGCGCACGGGAGGGGGGCGCACTGCGAGCAGAGAAGTCGCAGTAATGAGCAGAATTGGGCTTAATGGGGTTCGCACGGATAGAGCAGAAATCAAATTAGGGCCTAATTGGCAAGCGCGAGGCAAAGTGTGGCGACGCCTCTAGGGACCTGAAAGACCCGGGACGCCCCGCCCCACAGGGGGACCGGAGGCTTGGGAAGGCAGGTGACCTTGATCCGCTCCAGAGCGCACCTTAACTCGCTTTCTAGGTTGGTGTTGGAGAAGAAAAGGACGAAGGCCCAAGGCAAGGAAGGGATGTGGACAGACCAGAGGGACCTGAGGCAGCGGAGTGACAGTGTTCCTGTTGGAGCAGGCCTGCAGAGCCCCGGCGCCGCTCCTGTCCCTGCGTTTACCTGGGAAGCTCAGAGAGGGTGCTGGGTTTACCCAGGGTCACCCCGCCTCATTGTGGAACTAAAAAGCTTCAGCCAGACCCGCTAGTTCGAGTTTCTGCCACAAATTCTGTGTCTCTTTCTACGGTTTGCTTTTCTTCCTCTGTTTTTAAGGCGCATTAAGTTTCTCCCGAGACACAAGATGGTTCTAGTAGTTTAAGCCCGTGACACAGGACCTTCGAGGGTTTTCTCAGGCAGCTTTTTTTGATTCAGGACACTTTCCCTGCGGTAGGCTCAGCTTCCTCCTGGAGATTGGGGGTGGGGCGTTCGAGAGAGAGAGAGAGAGAGAGAGAGAGAGAGAGAGAGAGAGAGAGAGAGAGAGAGAGAGAGAGAGAGAGAGAGCCTCCACGGGTGAGCTGAGGGACTTCCGTGAGTAATTTTGGGGGGATATTTAATGCATCGCTCATTTCCCCATTGCATGTGGTATGGGCCCCCTCAGATCTGTTCTTCAAGGCAGCGTGTGTGTGTGTGTGTGTGTGTGTGTGTGTGTGTGTGTGTGTGTGTGTGTGTGTGTGTGTGTGTGTGTGGTCATGCAACCTGTTATTTCAGAGCATGGTGCAAGTCTGGGAAATGTTCCCTAGAGTGTTCTGGAACTTGGGTCCAGGTAGGAAGTAGAACTCATCCATGCAACTGTGGTCTCTTGTTGGGAGGGACATTTGATGGTCCCACTGGCACGGGGAGTCGTTCACAGTGGGAGGGGGAAATGCCAGTCTTCTGCAACCTCCAAACCTTGCTGACACACAGGTCCCCATCCTCTTCTCCAGAGTACAGGGACCAGCAGGCTGCCGTGTGTGAGACGGAGCCAGACAGCACACACAGAGCATGCTGAGCCCTCAGCCCCGATGGGGTCAAAGCTGGGGTTGCAGTCATCACTCAGACAGGAGATGAAGGCTCTGCCCTCTTAAGTCTCTCACAGTCTGGCTACAAGAATAACATACCTGCGTCCATCTTGGTAAGTGGCAGCTTGACTCGGCAGAGACCAACTGTGAAGGCTCTGGAAGTTTAGTCCCGAAGAACTTCTTCAGCTCCAGAAGGCAGTAAGGAAGAATAAAAAAAAAATTCTCTGCATATTTTCAACCTCACACCTGTCCTCCCTCAAGGTAATTGGCGACTTACCTTTCTAGACTTTTCTATCCACAAACAAGTAAATATGGAATCTGCGTTTTGAAATACTGGGTTGTCTGAGGGGCATCGTCTCTGACCTACTTTTCTCACTTACCCATGCACCCTTTTTTCAAATTGGACATCCCCATCTCCTTCTCCATTGCACCCACAAACACACCCCTCAGACACAGGGTGGCTGGCACACTGTATCTGACACCCATGAACGGAAAAAACTGTCAGTGCCTGCTCCCCTATTAGATGCCTAGAGTATGCAGAATGTCTGTGTGCTCTCACACAGCGAAAGAGGGAAGCCCATATGCCAAGACCCAAAGGCAGGAGGCTGAGCGGAACTGAGTTGAGAGGACAAACCAACCTTCCTTGGGTGTGGCCTCCTGGGTGAGCACCTTGATTCACTTTCCCAGACTGACTCACTTTGAAACGTCATGGCAGGTGGAATTTTGTTGGTCTGGGGTGGCCTGAGCCACTAAGCACCCTGCAAACGGTGGCTCAGGCTACCTTAGTGCCATTTTGTTATTTTATTTTTTGTGGTAGTGGGTATTGAACCCAGGGCCTTTAATGGGCAGGTCAGGCAAATGCTCTACCACTGACCTATTTCCCTCGCTGTCCTTCAACTTTTCATTTGCTTTTTTGCATTCGATTCTTTTTTAAAAAGACAAATCAGTGGGCATGGGCTGTGTGGCACACATGAAGGTCAGAGGTCAACTAGTGGGATTCACTTCCGTGTTTCTACCATGTGATTTGAACTTGAGTCACAGGCCTTGACAGCAAGTACATTGATGAACTGAGCCATCTTCCTAGCTTCAAGTTTGTTTTTTGAGACGGGGTCTCTTGTAGCCTGGGCTGGTCTACTTGCTCTGGAGCTGGGGGCAGCCTTATCTTTCTGTCTCCATCTCTTGATGGGTACAGCTAGCACACTTGGCTCATTCTGTATTTTAAAACAAGGTCTCACTAAGTTGACCAGGCTAGCTCTGAACTTACAATCCTCCCACGGGCAGACACACATACCTACACATAATCCAAAATTATAAAAATAAATCTGTTTTTTATTAAAAAAGAAGGCAGAGAGTCATAAAGAAACCTGAGGCCCACCTCCAGCCCCCACATGTGTATCCATGCTATGCTCCCCTACATACATACATCCACTTTTTTTTTAAGTGGCTTTATTTAGCCCAGCATATTAGGAGTACTGTCAACTTTATGTGTAATCAGTATCAGAACATTAACGTGATGGTTCATACTCTCTTTGTTTGCACTGACTTCAAAATCCAGTCTGAATGCTAGCTATTCCCTGGGAACACTTGATATATAGAGTTTATGAAGTTTAAGGGGAGAAAAGGTTTCACTCACTCAAGTGGTTTCAAATAGATATAGAAGTTTTCCCAAGCCAAGGTATAGGGTGATACACACCTGCAATCCCACCCAGCATTGGTGGGGAAGAGGCGGGAGGATTGAGAGTTTGAGGCCAGCCTGTGCTATGAGAGACCCTAATTTTTTTAGAAAGTTGGATGGATAGGTTTTTCACTTTTCATTTAATGGACAAACCTAGAGACAGATGAAGCTAGAGGCTGCTGCATTGCACAGCAAAAAGTAACGTGTGTCCACGGAGTGGACTGGCCAGGAAGCCCTGGCTTCACCCATCTCTGGTTACAAGATTGGAGCCCTGGGGTGTCTTGGTTCTCACAAACCCCATGACATCCCTCCCTTCTGAGGTGGCCCCCCTCCCCTTAAGGATAGCAGGGCTTGGTGACTCATTTCTAGGGAAGGGATGTGGCTGAGGCGTAGTGAGACTTCCGAGCTGGATCCCTCAGTACACGGTGGACGTCTGCCAGCTCTTCTAGATCATTCAGACTGACTGGAGAAGTCAGCAGCCACATGACAGACACAATCAGCTCATGCCAGAGAAGTTCCATGTGAAGAGGAACCAGCCAGTGGCCCCATCAGAGGATGCATGGTCGGTCTGTCTGTATGTATGTCTGTCTGTCTGCTTGACGAAAGCTAGAGTTATCTGGGAAGAGGAACTTCAGCTGAGAAAATGCCTTCATCAGATCACCTGTAGGCATGTCTGTATGATATTTCTTAGTGAGTGACAAGGAAGGGCCCAGACCATTGTGGGTGGGGCCATCCCTGGGCTGGTGGTCCTGGGTTCTATAAAAAAGCAGGCTAAACAAGCCATGAGGAGCCAGCCAGTAAGCAGCACTCCTCCATGGCCTCTGCATCAGCTCCTGCCTCCAGGTTCCTGCCCTGTTTGAGTTCCTGCCTTGGCTTCCATTAGTGATGGACTATGACCTGAGACTTGTAAGCTGGGATAAAGCCTTTCCTCTCCAAGTTGCTTTCTGCCATGGTGTTTATCACAGCAGCAAAATCTGAGAGTCAGAGCCTAGCCCCACAAAGGCTTTCCATCGTGGCCACTGCAGGCCACCCCCAGCCTGTGACTTCTTCAGACATCTGAGTGTAATGGGACTTTCTTTGGACCACCAGCTCCCGAATAATGACATGGAGACTTTTTATTAATTGTGAAAGGTTGGCCTTAGTTTAGGCTTGTTCCCAACTAACTCTTTTTTTTTTTTTTTTTTTTTTGAGACAGGATTTCTCTGTATTGTTTTGGAGGCTGTCGGTCCAGCCTGGCCTCGAACTCACAGAGATCCGCCTGCCTCTGCCTCCCGAGTGCTGGGATTAAAAGTGTGCGCCACCACTGCCCGGCCCCAACTAACTCTTAAAATAACTCTTTATATCAGTCTGCACGCTGCCATGTGGCTCGTACCTCTCCCTAGCATTGTACATCCAACTTCCTCTGCATCTGGCCGGAGGTTCCTCCCACCCCAGATTCTTTCCCAGGGTTCTTTTCTCTGCCTGGAAGTCCCGCCTATCCTCTCCTGCCTAGGTATTGGCCATTCAGCTCTTTATTAAACCAATCAGAAGGTGCCTTAGGCAAGTGAGGAAGGACAGAAACACATCTTACAAAAAGATTATCCCAGCATCTAAGCTAGGACCGCCATCTCTCTTGTCCCTGAACCCAGTGCTTCCTAAGGTTCCAAGCCACTGAACAGCCAGGGAATATGTTGTGTAGCTGTAGATGGCTGACACGAGCCAGACCCTGCCTGGCTGGGTCTTGGTTGCTTCGCTCTAAAATGGGGGTTAAAGGGCCTTGTGAGGCTGAAAAGATAATCTGTGGAGAATACTTAGCCAGCTTCAGTCACATGGTGGATGCTCAGTCATTACCATTGTCCTTCTGTTCTCTGCCCCTTCCCTCCCTGTTTCCCCTCCTCCCCCTCCTCCTCCTCTCCCTCATCCTCCTTCTCTTCTTCCTGCTCAGGGCAAATATCCAGGGACATGGAGGAGAGTCCATCATCGACAGGCAGCCACAGCCAGAGCTTTCAGACAGTGGAAGATCCTCAGGGACCCACCCCAGCCCACTCTCCTGCTTGCTCCCTCACAGGCAACTGTGACCTAAGCCCTTCCAGAACATTCTCCATCAACTGCCCCAGACATGCTCAAGCTTGATGCTATACTCCTATGACTCTTGTCACTCTTGGCATGAGAGGACTCTCCGCACATGGCTGTCCGTTTCCTGGGCTCTTGATAGTCTCTCACACACAAAGAGGGGCCCCGAGGCTCCTCCTGCCCGCTGTGATGTCTTGTACCCACTGCCCTCTTCCGCTTGCATTTCTGGCTCTCAGTTTGGGGATGGGCCCATGATGGACTGCCCCGCTGCGGTCAAGGCCAATAAAAGCTTCAAGAACAAGGTGGTGTGGCCTCAGAACAATGAGTCTGGCATGCTACACTAGTAGCTGTGGGCCTCAGTTTCCTTATCTGTCAAGTGGAGTCACAGCAATTGCACTGCACTACTGAATAGCCATGAGCATCCAACAAGGGGATTCCTAGGGAAACCCTCGATACTCAGAAGTGCCCTCCAAGCATCGTTGTGACCCGGAAATTGCAGTGTGCGTGCCTATCTCAAAGAGTGTTCTAGCACAGGACTGACTATTCAGAGCCATGGAGACCCCGGATGCAGACCCCTCCAAAATACCAGTGCAAGGATGCAACTGAGTGTGTTTCAAAACTAAAAATCCATCTCTCGCCAGAGGCTCTTGAAGCCCGTGCCCCAGCCCCTGTAATATTTCTCCATCCTTTTTTTTTTTTTTTTTTTGTTAATGGCTTGGGGGTTTCAGCACTGTTTTGCTCAGCCACGCGGGGAAATGTTTAATGAATCCTGTGAATATTCATTAATGCTTTCTGATGGGGGAGGCCCTGCTGCCGTCCAGCGGGTCTCAGAGCACCAGGGTGGGGAGATCAGCACACGGCCGCCTGATTGGTGAGATTTGTTTTCCGTTCTGGTTGCCCTATTTTCTGAGACCTCAGGGGGCTCGCGGGGCCAAGCGGGGAGGCAGAACTATTTCTCTGCTTGGTCCCCCTCGGCTTAGAGAGGAGTTCTAGAAAGCCGGGCTGTGAAGCAGAAGATGCGGAAACTGCATCCATGCACAGCAGTAGACTCCTAACCCTGCATCCCACACCCGTGCTCCTCAGTAAACCCCTGATCCTGCAGCCTACACCTGTGCTTCTCAAAAGGCTCCTTGGGGACACCATCAAACACAGAGAGACTTGCAGGGGAACCCATTGTAGGCCCGAGACAGCTGAGAACTGACACAATGGCCCACCAACAGGAGAATGGACAGTTGAGAGTATTCACCGTAACAAATCTCTGTACAGTAAAGAACGTGAATGACCAGGCATGTGGAATTAAAATAGTTGGTTTTTTTTCAGTTGAGATAAAATTCATGTTGTAAGTCAGGCTCTAATACACATGAGCAAGCAATGGTTTTGATATATGCTCACAAGATTGTACAATCACCCTTGCTGTCTAATTCTGGGAATATATTCCATTGTTGTCAATCCTTCTTTCTGTCTACACCACAGCTCTGGGGAACTCCTATTCTATCTACTCTCTCTACCTCTATCCTACTCTCTGTGTATTCAGGACATTTGCTGTGAATAGAAACAACAAAAACTCCCTTTCCTATCACAATTTCAAGATATGTTTATTTATTTATTTTTCTTTTTTTTTTTTTTTGGTTTTTCGAGACAGGGTTTCTCTGTGGCTTTGGAGGCTGTCCTGGAACTAGCTCTTGTAGACCAGGCTGGCCTCGAACTCACAGAGATCCGCCTGCCTCTGCCTCCCGAGTGCTGGGATTAAAGGCGTGCGCCACCAACGCCCGGCTTATTTTTCTTTTTTGAGACAGGCTTTCTCTGTGCAACAGTCCTGGCTGTCCTGGGACACCCTCTGTAGACCAGGCTGACCTCGAGCTCACAGAGATCCTCCTGCCTCTGCTTCCCTAGTGCTGGGATTAAAGACGTATGCTGCTGCCACTTCCACTATCTGGCTCTGAAGATCCATTTATGTCACAGTTTTATTGCTTTGTTCTATTCCATGACCAGGGGGAAGTACCCTTACAGAGTAATTGTCTTTGTTAACAAAAGATTAAAATGTTCTGTTGAATACTTCCTACCCCTCCCTAATTCCTGCACCTGACTTACGCTGACAAGCATTTGTGGAATGCAACTGATGACTGATGGAAAATTACAGCTTTGTCTTTACTGTATTTGGTGTATATTTGAATTGAGACTTGATTGACATGCTTGTACCACCCCCTGAGGTCCTTCCTCTATAAGTTCCAGCGTGCCCCAAAAAATAAAGGCTCTTGATCAGCGACCGTTGTCTTGAGCCTGCTTCCCTTAACCTCTTGAAGTTTACTTTCCAGATCGGATCTGCTCGTGAAGGCCCACCAAATTAGTAGCGACCCTCATCACCTCACCCCCGCGGGTTGGGGGTCCCTTCCCGGGGGTCGCAAAAACCTGTTTCTTCCTTTCTTCTATGCTGCCTTCTTGAGTGTGTTAGCCTTTGTCTTTTCTTCATGATTGCAAAGTGGCTGCCACAGCTCCAGCCACCACATCCCATACAGCCAGCTACACTGACAGGAAAAGAAAAAGTACCTTTCCCACTAGCCTCCTCATAGACTCCCCCATATATCTCATTGAAATAGTTGTGTTCCAAACACCCACCCACACCAGCCACTAAGTAAAGGGAGTACTGATTGGTTTGAACTACTGACGTGTGCCTCAGACACTGAGTTCTGCTGTAAGAGAATTTACTGTGGTGAGTGTAGCTCTCAGGTCTAGAACCACTGCTTTTGTCCAGGGTGAGTTGTAACTCCCTGTTGTAGAATATTACTGTAACTATGTAAATATATGTTACATGTGCTTATGTTGCAGAGTATTATTTTAGCTGTGTAAAAGTGTGTTACATTTGTTTCTGCTGCCTTTGTTAATGACGTAAAGATGTGTTACATCTGTTTGTGCTGCATCTGCTTAATTATGTAAGGATGTGTTGCATTTGTTTCACCTGCATAAGGCACCTGGTTGAGCTAATAAAAAGCTGAAGGGCCAATAGCTAGGCAGGATAGGGATGGGCAGGGCTGGCAGACAGAGAGCATAAGTAGGAGGAGAAATCTAGGCAAAGGGGAAGAAGAGAAGGCGGGAGAAAGAAAGGGACACACCCAGGGCAGCCAGGCAGCCATTCAAGCAAGATAGGAAGGAAGGAAGGAAGGAAGGAAGGAAGGAAGGAAGGAAGGAAGGAAGGAAGGAAGGAAGGAAGGAAGGAAAGAGCCCTGAGGCAAAAGATAGATAAAGAGAAACAGATTAAAATAAGAGCTAAGATAAGGCTGAGCATAATAAGAAGTCTCCATGTCGTGATTTGGGAGCTGGTTGGTGGCTCATAAGAAAGACTGCTACAACTCCCTGTGTTAATCATGGCTCTAGAGGAATAGAGCAGACAGGGTGAGTAGTATATAGAAGGGCTGGATTTACTAGATTGGCTTGCACAACATGGTCTGGGTAGTCCAACAACGGCTGTCTCACCCTGGGAAAAACTGAGTACCCAGTGACTGTTTAACTCACAAAGCTAAGAGCTTCAGCAGTGCCAGGTCTGAAAGAGTAGTCAAGTCATATCAGTAGTCTCCACTCCATGCTGGAAGGCTGAAGATACTGGGTTCTGCTGTCATCAGAGGACAGTGGCAGTATTGACAGCAGCTGTAGCAGCAACAGGGCAGGTTGGCTCAACCAGCAATGCTGGAAGGTAAGCAGGCAAAAAGCCAAAAGCCTTTCCCTTGGGCTTCCTTATATCTGGGCTACCACACAGAGAGGGGTGCTGCCCGTATTTGGGGTGGATCTCTCCTTTCCAGCTAGCCTCACGGGGAAAATCCCTCACGGATGTCCTCAGAGACCTGCCTCGTGGATGATTCTAGATCTTGTCAAGCTGACAACCAATAGTGATAAGACATTCCTGGTCAGTCCCAGGCTCTGCCCATCTGTCCACCGCCCCCCTTCTCTTTCCCAGGCAGCTTCTGGGTGAGTCTTCCAGCATCTGTGGTCCTAGTAGTTGCTTTTGTGTCTCTGTGACCCAGGATACCTGAAGAAAAACTACTCAGGGGACGGAAGGTTTACTTTGACTCAGTTTCAGAGGGTTTTAATCCAGTGTGGAGGGGGAGGCATGTTGGGACCTCTTGGATCACGGTGATGGGCTTATATGACGGAGCTGTTAAATTCACAGACAATCACAGCACCAGGTCCACCTCTAGTGACCTACTTGTGCCAACTAGGCCCCACCTCCTGACCATTCTCCAGTCTCCTCAAATAGCCCCTCCTCCTGGGGAGCAAGCATCCAATGCACAAGCCTGTGGGGGCATTTTACAAATGTCCTATTATGTCTGCTTTCCTAAAGACTCAAATTACACATATCCCTCTGGGGCTAGGATAAGTCTTGTCTCCTACATGTGGGATGGCATCCATTAAATAGATCAGAGGGGTCCACAGATACAGCTAAGAGACAGATCACCTGCAGGGTGTGCTTGGTGTCAGATGGGACAGAATATACAATCTGATTCCACTCTGACCTACTCCCAAGTCAGAATGATCCCCAGTGAAGTTACATCCCAGGGTTGTGGTGAGGATGGCTCCGAAGAACACATACCTGGTCCCCGAGCATCTAATAACAAGGGTTGCCACCTGCATGGGTCCAGCCACCTACATGGGTCCAGCTGAGTAGCTCTCTCTGTTACACAGTTCTTTCATCTTTGCAGCCTTGCCGGATGGATGCTGCCCAGGTCCCTTTGTCTGCAACCGAAGCTCAAAGCCGAAAACCCTGCAGGAAGTGGCTCTGACTAGCGGATCTGATTGTGATATAGCACGCAGTACTACTGGGCTTTGGGACATCCTGTATACTGTAGGTGTTTAAAGAGGCTGTTCTATGACATGTTCATTGAGTACCTACTGTGTGTTAGGTGTGTTCACATCTTCTCATTTGAATGTCCTAGACGTCTCATGGGAGTTTGGAGTTGGGTGATGTGAGTGTGTGTGTGTGTGTAAACAAGCTAGAAGGCAACCTGTGCAGTGTACCTTGTGTTTTGAAACAAGGTCTCTTGCTGAATCTGGAACTTCCCCATTGGGCTGGGCTGGATGCTGGTGAGCACCCTTGTATTTGCCTTCTGAGGACTGGGAATGGGTTCTGGGGAACTGAACTTGGATCCTCATGCTTGCAAGGCAAACACTTTACCAGCTGAGCCATCTCCTCAGCCATCTTTTTGTTGTTGTTTTGTTTTGTTTTTCAAGACAGGGTTTCTCTATGTTGCTCTGGCTGTCCTGGGATTCACTCTGTAGACCAGCTGTCTCTACCTCCCAAGTGCTGGGATTAAAGGCGTGTGCCACCACACAACCCTGCTCCCTGCCATCTTTGAGGCAGGTTCTGTAATACCTTTGATACCCTGCAGACAGGTTAAGGACTGGGTTGTCATTCTCAACAGGTGGAGCTGACCATCCCGCCATCACTGTCTCCCAGGATGAACAGAAACATCCTTAAAGTTCTGGTCCACAGAATCTCAGTTCCACTACTTAACTCTGTGACCGTGAGTGAGTCATTTCCTCCCTGAGCCTCAGTCTCCCCACCTCTTAAGTGGAATGTAAATAAATCTACCCTGGAAAACACTGTTGTTGACTTTTGCTTTTGCGAGATTTTAATAACAAGAAAAGCCATTTAAAGCCAGACTCACACCTATGACTCCAGCAGACTCTTAATTAATTGTCACCGGATGTTTGCCTGGCTGACATTTATCTCTGATCCCCATCTTTACAGAAATCATAAATCTGGCCTGATTATCACCTCGTGCATGATTCTTCCCGAGGAGTCACAGTCTCTCTCTTTTATCTATCCTCTAAAATATGATCCAATTTACAAAATCTTTGACTTACAGCTGGGCTGGAAGCCCAGCTGGTGTGTAAAACAATACTCAGTGCACACGGGCTGCATCATGAGCCCCTGGAAGGCCAGGACCTTTCCAACAGTCAAGGGTCCTGTGGTGTGTCACTCAAGACTGGGTACAGTTAGGAGTCACATCTCCTATTTGAGCATCTAGTTTCCAAGCCCTGGGGGGGGGGGCAGGAAATCGACCAGAATAGTGAGTTGTCAACACCCACTCCATCCTCACCTCCTCCCCATCCCCCCCCCCCAACCCCAGTGTGGGTGGTTCATCAAAGCCGTTCTTCTAGAATTCCCTCCGGACACCCATCAGTGAACTTCACCCTCAGTTTCCCCAACTATAAAGTGTGTGTGTGTGTGTGTGTGTGTGTGTGTGTGTGTGTGTGTGTATAAGATCCTTTGCCAAGCGGTACCCATGTCTTGTACAGTTCATGACCCTAACCCCGGGGAAATTACCTGGCTCACAATGAAAAGAGATACTGTCTCAAAGGAAGTAGAAGGCGTTCCTGAGAGTGACACCGAAGGTTGTCCCCTGATGTCAGCACATGCTTGGATGCATGCGCGCTCACGGGTACACACACACACACACACACACACACACACACAGGAGCCTTACAAAAGAAAGAAAGAGGGCTCACCCACTGTTCTGTAGGTACCTTTTTATGCTGTCTTAATCCTGCATCTTCTGTACACACACTTAACTATTTTATATTCCTTAAGAATTTTTTATTACACTGATTTATTTAGGAAGGAGGGCATGCCATGACACATAAAGTGGTCAGAGGCCGAGGAGTGGACCCTCCTTCTACGATATGGATCCCGGTTGAATGCAGACCATCGGGCTTAGTGGCAAGCACCCTTACCCACTGAGCCATCTTTGCCAGCCAGTCCCTGAGCTATGTTGTGGTCTCACATTATTTGTAATCAAAATACTGAATGACACATGACTAGGAATGAATCAAAAGCAATTAAAGCAGGAAACACTCCAAGGGGAGTGAAATTACAGTCCCTATAAAAACCTTGTACCATTATCCTAAAGCTAAAAGACACATAAGCCCAAATGCCCGTGAAGGGATGAGTGGAGAAACTAAACAGCAGAGTCAAGCAATGGAATATTACTTAGTCACAACAAAGAGTAAGGTCCTGGCTGGCTGTTACCATGTGGATGAACCCAGAGGGAATTGTGCAAGCAAGAGAAACTGGTCAAAACAGACTGTTTTTTTTTTTTTTCCGAGACAGAGTTTCTCTGTATTGTTTTGGAGGCTGTCCTGGAACTCGCTCTGTAGACCAGGCTGGCCTCGAACTCACAGAGATCTTCCTGCCTCTGCCTCCCGAGTGCTGGGATTAAAGGTGTGCGCCACCTATGCCCGGCCCAGAGTGTATTTTGTGATTCCATCTGCATGGAGTGGGGGGGGGTGTTTTATTTGTTTATTGTTTTGCGGTTGGTTTGGTTTTTGGTTTTTTGAGACAGGGTCTCAGTATTTGTGTCCCATCAGGAAGGAGTCCCAGGACGATCAGGGCTACACAGAGGAACCCTGTCTAGAAAACCCCATAAAACACTGTTACCTTCCAAGCCATCTTTCAGGCCTTGAGTTTGTTTGTTTGAGACAGAACCTCATGTAGTACAGGCTAGCCTCTAATTTAACAACTAACCCAGGATGACCTTGAACTCCTGATCTGTGACTTGGCTTTCTCCCACAAGCACAATGCTGTTAATCTGTACACACCGAAAGGGGAGCACTTTGCTCCTCCAATCAGGTTGCTATGCTCATTGGGCCTAATGCAGCTTCCTTCCTCCTTCTGGTGGGACACTCCGTGTCAAGCCATCAGCTGCTAACTGCCCCGCATCTCCCTCTCCTCAGCTCTTTTCTCCCCATCTCCACCCATACATCTCCCGTGGGCCATCAGAGCGGCTCGTCACTCTCCACTGTATACCTCTCCCCAGGATACTGCCGAGTTAGAGTGGTGGGCTGAAGATACCAGCCTTCCCTGTTTACAGCCTCCTGTGTTCAGGCTGGCTCCAAGCAGCAGCCCCAGCCTTGACCCTCTCTGAGCCACACGCCACTCTGCAAAACATCTTAAATGAGGTTAAACTCACCTTGTCTTACAGGCTGGGTGATAGCCAAAGGAGACAGACCATGGAACACAGCTGCCCAGTCACTGCAAGGCTGGCTGCTATGTTTGTGCTACCTCATTCCCAATTCCAGGCTGTCCCTCTGCTTTCTCTGCTGGCCAGAGGGCTCCTGTTTGTTCATTAAGATTCACTTTGTTTGGCTGGGAGGTGTCAGTAAACTGTCTGCTGTTTTAGCCTGAGCACCTGAGTTCTGACCCCAGCGCCCGTATAAAAAGCCGGGCATGCTAGTGAACAATTATGACCCCAGGAGTAGGGGGTAGAGACTGGTGGACTTGAGACGGCTGGCCATGAAGTGCAGCCAATCCATGAGGCCAGTGAGACCTTGTCTCAAAAGATAAGGAGGAGAACGGTGAAGGAAGACATGATGTCAGGCTTGTATTCTTATCCATATATGTGCACTCATGCATGTGCATGGACACACACACACACAACATACACAAATGCACACATAGACACCCAAACATAAACACACACAAACACACACATATACACACAAACTAAACAAATACATGCATAGACACACATACACACACACATACACACAAACATAGACATGCATAGACACACACAAACAAATACACACATAGACACACACACACAAACAAATACGCACACATACACACAGAAAACAAATACATGCATAGACAGACACACACAAACATAAATACACACATAGACACACACACACACACACATACTCGCACATGGATGTCCAGGCACCTCCATGTGATCTTGTGTGGACAGCATCAGAATCACCGAGGATATGGGTCACGAACCTGTCACTTGAGGCTTCTCCTAGCCCCCAGATTAACAGGTGTGTCTGGAGACCACTGATTGAGAACTTTGCCTTGGCCCAGGAGTGCCCACTGCAGACTGACCACCTGAGTCAGATCCTTGAGCCCATATGTTGGAAGGAGAACACACACACACACACACACACACACACACACACACACACACACACAGAGAGAGAGGTTTAAAAGCAAAAGATAATTAGATCCAGGTATGGTGACACAGCCTTTAAACCTACCACTTGGAGTTCGAGGCCAGCCTGGTCGACATAGCACATTCCAGGCCAGCTGGCCTACATAGAGAGACCCTGTCTCAAGAAGCAAGCAAACAAACAAGCCCTTCGTTCAGCCTAATTTTTATTTTTAATCTTCTGAGATTATACTATATTACATCATCCCCCCTCTTTTCCTACTCCAAACCCCCCAATATACCACGTTGCTTGCTCGCTTTCAATTTTATGGTGTCTTTTTTTCTTTAATTGTTGACACATAAGTGTGTGTGTGTGTGTGTGTCCTAAACATAACCTCAGCCTAATTCTTATGCAATATATGGGATATGAATAAAATTGGAACTGACCTGCTTAAAGCAATAGGTAAGAGCCAAGGTTATCAGGAAATAGTCCAGCTTGGGCTTTGCTGGGCGCCTTCCTCTTTGGTCTGCAGCAGAGATGGACTACATTTCCCAGCCTCCTTTGCAGGTATGTATCCACATGACCCACCTCTAGCCAATGAATGTGCATAGAAGTGCATAGAAGTGATAGCCTGTGGGACTTTACCAGACCTGGCTCACAAAACCCTGTTCCCTGTTCAGGCTAATGCAGAATGGGTAGAGGCTGAGAGGTGGCACAGCCATGAAGTGGAGGAGGCTGGACCCACTGAAAGCTGCCTAGCAAGCAGGGCCACCTATTTGGGATTTCACCCAGTGTGGGATGGATACGTATCTGTGGCATTGGGTCATAGACACTTGGAAGTCCATTTGTCACAGCAGCTGGCATTGGCTTACCTAATAGTCTGCTCCTTGCTGTTTGCCCCACGTCACCTTCATGGATTCTGGGCCTTCTAAGGAGCCCGGCGGGAACCCAGCAGGTGCAATGGGTGACCCTCTATCCTCCATAAGAGAGAGCCCTCCTGCTCTCTATTCCAGAACAGATTTAATATATGTGGATGCATCCAGGACTTGGCAAAAGGTATTTCAGGGGCAAGTTATATTTAGTTATGAGCAGCATTTCTGCATGTTGCTTCCACACCGTCTGCAGCCAAGCCTTTCTCCAGTGACCGCTCCACGGGAACCAGAGAAGCAGAGAGGTAGTAAATCTGAAACCTCAAGCCCTCACTACCTTTTCCAAGTGGGGCTGGAACTCCATCCCTAGAGCAACTGACCCAGAGCAGAATAAATGTGCCTGCTGCCCGGTTATTTTAAAACAAACATGGAATAAAATGCCTGCTCCCCCTTCTCAAGAAATATGCATCATTCCCTGCTTTCCATTCCCCTTCAATTAAAAAAAATCAGCTGAAAAATATCTGTTTTCTCTTCTCTACACTGGGAAATGAGAGTGGTTTGAGTTTTTGTTGTTGTTGCTGTTTTGTTTTGTTTTTTCTTTTAAGACAGGGTTTCTCTGTGTAACCCGGGCTGTCCCAGAACTCTCTATGTAGACCAGGCTACCCTCAAACCCAAAGACCTGCCTGTTGCTGGAGTTTTCTGTCCCGCCATGTCCTGCCACCCTTCTCAGCCCCAAATAAACATGTAGAGATGCTATATTAATTATTAAACTGTTGGCCGATGGCTAGGGCTTCTTATTGGC